GCCACTTCCAGGGAGTTGGGGGGGGGGGGCCCTGTATTCCTGCATGGAGGGGGGTGGGCAGCGGGTGAGGGCAGGACCATGCACCTGGCTGGGGGGCGGAGAGGGCTTGGGGGAGGACACTGGAGGAGGAGGATGGGGGACATGGCTGGGCAGGGGGCGTGGGTGTGATGTGGCCGGGGGGCGGGGCCATGGCCAGGGGGCGGGGCCATGGCCAGGGGGCGGGGCCATGGCCAGGGGGCGGGGCCAGGGCTCTCACCTGTACATCAGGTCGATCAGCATCTCTGGATCCTCCTGGTGCTCCTTCATCTTGACGGTGTCGGTGAGGATCATGTGCAGGTTGAAGACGAGGTCCTGCACCTGGGGAGGCAGCGGGCTCAGACTCCCCCTCCCCGCCCATCACCCCACACGGCCAGCGCCGCTCTGGGGTATGGCTGGGCGGGGCCCCTGCCTGCCACGGGGGGCCCTTGGCCGGGCCAGCCCCAGGCTGTAGAGAGAATCCTGTGGGCCCCCCCGCGCTCAGTGCCCACTCAGCTACAGGAATGGGGGCGCTGGGCTGGGCGGGGCCTGTCAATCAGGGCAGGTCCCCCCCCCCCCCGTACCCTGCTCAGCGAAGCTGCTGTCCCGCAGCCCGGCGTCCTCCTCGGCGTAGCTCAGGATGGTTTTCAGCGAGCGCCGCAGATGCTCCTCGTTGAAGTTGGACGAGGTCCCGACGAGCGAGGACAGGGACATGGTCACCTGCATCTTCACCCGGGCAAAGTTCTGCGGGGGACAGGGGGAGGCTGAGCCGAGGAACCCGTAGCGCCCCCTGCTGCTTGGGCACAGCGCGCCTGGCCCGGGGGTGAGGGTAGGGGATGCCCAGACAGCCCCTGGGATCCCGCTGGCTGCGCCCGAGGTCCCTGGCGGCCTGGCCCAGGGGTGATCCCCGGAGTCTCCAACAAACCGTCCCCATCGTCCACCTGCAACGGAGCCGCCGGCGGGGCCCAGCCGACTGCTGTGCTCCACCCCAGAGACAGCCGCATGGCGGGGGGGGGGGGCTGCACTCACGTGGCCGATCTCGAAGTTCTGGCGCATGAGCAGGTAGAGGGAGGCGCTGGCGTGGGCGCGGATGGCAGCCACCCGGCTGCTGCAGTGACGCAATAGCCGCAGACACAGGTCGGCGCAGAGCTCCGTGTCCTCCTCGAACAGCATCTCCGGGAACTGCACCGGGAGAGGGGTTAGAGCCGCCGGGGGGCTGCCCCCTGGACGCCTGGGTTCTCGCCCGGCGCTGGCAGGGAGCGGGGGGCACTGGGAGCCAGGACGCCTGGGTTCTCGCCCAGCGCTGGCAGGGAGCGGGACGCTGGGAGCCACGACGCCTGGGTTCTCACCCGGCGCTGGCAGGGAGCGGGGGGCGCTGGGAGCCAGGACGACCTGGGTTCTCATCCGGCGCTGGCAGGGAGTGGGGTCCAGGGGCTGGAGCGGGGGACGCTGGGAGCCAGGACGCCTGGGTTCTCGCCCGGCACTGGCAGGAAGTGGGGTCCAGTGGACAGGGGGTTGGGTTCCCGTTCTGGCTTCCCCACTCCCTCTGGATGGAGTGACACGAACCTGGGTGCGACCTCCCCAGAGCCGGCCCCCCCCGGGCTCCGATCTCCCTTCTCCCCGGCAGCCCGGTCACCCGTCAACCACCCCCCAGCTCCCCGCGGGCCAGGGGTCTACCTGCGCCGGTCAGGCCCCGCTGGGGGCCCCACTCACCTTGCTCACCAGCGCCCTCTGGGAGGCGAAGCAATGCTGCAGGAAGGCGGCGCTGGGCGTGCAGGCCATGCTGTGTAGCAGCACCCGCAGCACCCCGTCCAGCGCGCTCTCCTTGGCCTCCGCCAGCAGCACCGTCTGCGGGGACACGGGCCGTGAGCGGGGTGCTTCTGGGGGCGGAGCTTTTGGGGAGTGGGGGGTGGAGCTCGCCAGGGGTGGGGAGGGCAGAGCTGGGGGGATTGGGGGGCAGAGCTTGCTGGGAGGGAGGGAGGAGGCCGGAGCTCGCTGGGGGAGGGGCCGTGAGGGTCGTGCTTCTGGGGGGCGGAGCTCACTGGGGGGAGGGCGGAGCTTGCCGCGGGGCAGAGCTTGTGGGGTATTGCCGGGGCGGGAGGGCAGAGTCTCCTGGGGAAACCAGTGCCTGATGTTCACAGGGGGCAGGGGCTGGTTGTTAGAGGCGGGAGCTGGGAGCCAGGACTCCTGGGTTCCATCCCCAGCTCTGGGAGGGGGCAGGACAGGTGAGCGGCGGGTGTGGGGGGTGCTGGGAGGGAAGGGGGTAACTCCACCTTGTCCCCACCTGGACGATGATCTCCAGCGTGTCCAGCACCACCAGGCTGGCCTCGGTCGCCAGGTTCCCCTCCACCAGCACCTCCTGCTCCACCTCCTCCCGGCTCCTGGGGCAGAGCGGGGCATCAACGTCCACCCCTCCCAGCCCCTCTGCCCCCCAGCCCGGTGCCCCCCAGGGCCAGCCCCCCACGGTGCCATGGGCTCCCTGGCATCGCTCCCATCCTGGTCCCTGCCCGGTGCCTCCAGCGCCCACCCACCCCATGGCCCCCCAGCATCTATCCCCCACCTCGACACTGCCCCAGCAGCCCCCAGCCTGGAGCCCCCCAGGGCCAGTGCCCCCATGGTGTCCCGGGATCCCTGGCATCACTCCCATCCTGGTCCCTGCCTGGCACTCCCGAGCCCGGGGTCCCCTAGCTCCCTCCACCGCCCAGCCACCAGCACGGCTCCACCCCGGTGCCCCCCTCAGCGACCAGCCCCACCCCTGTGCCCCCAGCGGCCAGCCTCCCCTCCACCCTGGCGCCCCCCCAGTATCCACCCTCCCCTCCACCCCGGCGCCCCCCCCCAGCAGCCAGCCCCCACCCATGTCCCCAGCATCCTCCCTCCCCTCCCAGACGGGGCCCGCGGCGCCGCAGCCCACGTACTTGTCCACCTTGTCGGAGTTCGGGCGCCAGTGAGCGAGGTTCTTCCTCCAGCGAACGCTCTCCTGGCCCCCCAGGGGGCTGCGCTCTGCGGGAAAGGGGGGGGGTCAGGAGCCGCATGGCAGGGGCTGGGGGGGCCGCAGGCTGAGGTGGGGTGCAGGGGCAGGCTGGGGGAGTCTGGCAGGTGCAAAGGGGCGGGGCCGGTGGGGTAGGGGGCAGGGGAGGGGGGGGGGCACGGCCATGGCTCACCCCTGCTGCGCCGCACCATCTCCTGGCGCGCGCCGACGGTGCCCAGGATGGCCTCCTCCAGCCGCGCCTTCATGTCCAGTGACTTCTTGAAGGCCAGACTGCTGATACGCTCGAAGGCCTTCCTGCCCTGCGGGAGGGGGGTGGGGGGAGATTAAGCACTGGGGGGGGGGCTGATGGAAGGTTCCCGGGGGAATCGGATCCCCAGGGAATCCCCCCAGCCCACTGGGTCCCCCCCCAGATCCACCCCCAGCCTGCTGGATCCCCCCAGATCTGCCCCCCGCCCACTGGATCCCTGCCCCTAGACTCCTCCCCCCCGCCCGCTGGATCCCCCCAGATCTGCCCCCCGCCCACTGGATCCCTGCCCCTAGATCCCCCCGGGTCCCCCCAGACCCCGCACCTTGTACTCAAAGCAAGCCACGCAGACGTAGAGCAGGTCGAGGAGGCGGCCGAGGTGCAGGGGGGGCAGCTCCGCACACCAGCTGTGCAGCACCCCCGCGTCCCCGTTCTTCAGCACCCACAGCACGCAGGCCAGCAGGGTGCGGCTCGCCTCGGCCGACAGAGTGCCGGCCGGCCGCGGGGGCTGCGGGGAGAGACGGGTCAGCGCCCAGCCCCGCCTGGCTGGGGGGGGCCGCGGGGAGAGACGGGTCAGCGCCCAGCCCCGCCCAGCTGGGGGGGCCGCGGGGAGAGACGGGTCAGCGCCCAGCCCCGCCCAGCTGGGGGGAGCTCAGGGACCGTACCCCATGGGGCGCCCTCCAGCAGCTGCCCCCCATTCCCAGCCCCTAGTTTCACTCACACAGCTGGGGCTGGGACCGGGACCTTTGCGGGGCCCAGGAGGGTCGATCCTGGGGGCCGGCCCCACCCACAGGCCCGGCTGCTCACTGGGGACAGCCCTGCAAGGCCAAACGAGCCTGCAGGTGCCCCCCCCAGGGGGCGCTGTGCTTGAAGGGGAGCCACGCCTGGCTCCGTCACCAGCCCAGCCCCACAGAGGGGCTCTCGCGGCTCTGGGTGGGGATCTAGTTGTTAGAGGGCGGGGCCTGGCAGCCAGGACGCCTGGGTTCTCTCCCTGGCTCTGGGAGGGAGGGGGGACCCCAGGAAGGGAGCTTTCCATCTCCAGAGATCGGGGTCGCTCCGACGTTCCCCTCCTCCCCCTGCGCCCCGACGGGTACTCACGGCTGCCGGCAGCGGGAAGGGGCTGGCCCGGTGGGCGTGGGGCAGGGGGGAGCCGGCGATGGCCATGGCCACCGATTGGCTGATGGTGCCGCTGTCGCTGTCTCCTTCGTCCCCCGGCACGGTGACCAGGCGCCCGCGTGGACTGTGGTTCTCTGGGGGGGGGAAGAGCGCAGAGCTGGGGGGCGTCGGGGCACCAGCCAGCCCGGGGGTCCCCGGACAGAGGAAACGGGACAGGGTCAGGATCTCCGACGCCTGGGTCCTCTCCCTGGCCTTGGGAGCCGGGGGGCTGGGAGCCAGGACTCCTGGGTTCTATCCCAGCTCTGGGAGGGGAGTGGGGTCTAGTGGTTAGCGCCGGGGGGCCTGGGTGCAGGACTGCTGGGCTCTCTCCCCGGTTAGAGCCAGGGGCTGCCCCGCTCACCGGTGAAGTCGTAGAGCTGCGGCAGGGCGTCTAGGACGATGTTGAGGAGCGGCAGGTAGAGCTGGGCCACGTGGGCGCGGACGGGGGGGGCGGCGTAGCGGACGTCAGCGTCGTGGCTGCACAGCAGGTTGTGCAGGGCGCTGATCACCTTCTTGTGCAGGAAGAAAACGCTGGCGGGGGGGAGAGGGAGCCCGGGAATGAGACGTCCCCGTTCTAACCACTGCACCCCACTCCCCTCCCAGGGCCGGGATAGAACCCAGGAGTCCTGGCTCCCAGCCCCCCTGCTCTAACCACTGCACCCCACTCCCCTCCCAGGGCCGGGATAGAACCCAGGAGTCCTGGCTCCCAGCCCCCCTGCTCTAACCACTGCACCCCACTCCCCTCCCAGGGCCGGGATAGAACCCAGGAGTCTTGGTCCCACCCACAGGAAGCTCTGGGCTGGACCCCAGGGGGGACCCCGCTCACCCTTCGGCGTCCGGCTCCAGGATGAGCGCCAGCTCCGTGAGCACCAGCCCCACCAGGAAGTGCTGCCGGCGGTAGGGCCCTGACAGCTCGAACATGCCGGCCACCCGCTGGTCCTGCGCCGGGCTGGAGAAGGCCGAGCCCTGCGGGAGCGAGCGGGGGTGAGCCGGGAGCACGGGGGGCGCGGGAACAGGAACCACCCAGCCAGCAGCTGCAACTGCCCCATGCCTGGGCTCCCCCCCAGTCCCGCCCACCGGCCAGGGGCCCTCCCCGCAGCTGTGATGGCCAGGTCGGGGGTGCCAGAGCTCGGTATGGGACCCCCCAGATTGGCACCCCCGGGCCCAGCGCCCCCCCCGAGAGACGGAGCCCCCCGTATCACGGCTGCCCGGTGGCTTCGGTTGTGGGACGGTAACCCCTGCTGGGACAGGCCTGGCCCCCCGGGGATCCCCCCTTGCCCCAGGCAGGCAGCCGGCAGGGGCCGGGTCCCGGGCGTACCTGGGAGGTGGCGGAGGACACGGAGGGCGAGGGCGAGGCGGGTGGCGAGAGGTTGTGCCAGGGCAGGTTCAGACTGACGTAGTGCTCGTGGCTGCAGACGATGCGCAGGAAATCCACGCGCAGCGCCACCAGGGCGGGGGGGTTCTGGGCGCTCGGCAGCCGGCTACCGATCTGGGGGGGGGGCGCAGCCTGTGACGGGGGGACGGGCTCCCAGGGACAGCCCAGCGGCTGACAGCTCCCCAGTTAATCCCCCCGGCCCAGCTGTCCCACTCCGCCTGCCCCCCGGCCCAGCTGTCCTCCCTGAACGCCCCCTTTCCCGCCTGTCCCCCGATCACCCCCTTTCTCGCCTGTCCCCCCCAAGCCCAGCTGTCCCCCCCGAATGCCCCCTTTCCCACCTGTCCGCCGATCACCCCCTTTCCCGCCTGTCCCCCCTGCCCAGCTGTCCCCCCTGACCGCCCCCTTTCCCGCCTGCCCCCCCGATCACCCCCTTTCTCGCCTGTCCCCCCAAGCCCAGCTGTCCCCCCGAACGCCCCCTTTCCCACCTGCCCCCCTGATCACACCCTTTCCCACCTGTCCCCCCTGCC